GAATGCATCATAAGTGCACCGGTGGTTTGGGGATTTAGGGTTTGACATTTGGAAAAAAATATGAGCTAAAACTGATTTGGGAGAGGGGAGGTATCGGGCTGTCTGTTTAAACAGAGTCCTTGACTAGTAAGCGCTCCATAACTTCAATTTCCACGAAATTTCATACCTACCAACTAAGATTTGACCCATCATCTTCCAGTGAAGGTTCTACTCTCTGGTCCCTTTCAACCAGCGCTTCAAGGAACCTTCATACCGTAAACTTCAACCATATCAAAAGGGCAAAAATATATTTAAAAATATTATTAGACTCTTCAAACTCTGAACTTATTATTCTATTACTCTTTTGTTAGTTAGTTTGTCTACTTGTTCATTAATGAGTCCGTTTGTTTGTTAATTAATTAATGGGGTGGGTAGAATTAGGTTAGGAGCCTACCTTAATTTGGGGAGGTTGGTTGCCTAACTTTGGTTGCGTAATTTGGGGGGCTTGTTTCTGGGGATTCAAAGGTTGGGAGCTCAAGGTATTTTGTCTTATTTGTACTTCTACTTGTATAAATATGCTTGCTTGTAATACAAAGAAATTAAGTAATGAAAATCAGAAATTAACATTTTCCATTCCATATCAGTCTCATATTCTCTTAGTTTGACATCTTTGAGGCGGAGACGTTATATAATCTGCCTTATGATAATGCATTCTGAAACTGAAATATAGGTCAGTGTACGGCAGCTCATCTTTTCTTAAGATTTTCCCACCAAATTCTTCCAATCAAGCAACAACTCAATCAGAGTGACGGCATACATGTAGTTGTTTTTTTTAAATGCCAATTTGTATAAATAAATAAGACTAAATTGTGACTTTGTCCATGTAAGCTTTTAAACCTCTCTATCTTTTGAAACATTGGTTACAATTACAATAGATTTGAGCAGAAAAAGATTTCTTTTTGGTTTCTTCTGCAATTAGATCCTATTTGAGTTGTGCCCAATTGAGCCAATACAACATTTATTTTGCCAAAAATGAGGAGTCTGTTTAAACAGAGTCTGCGCCCTTTTTTTTATTATCATAAAACCTGAGCCAAAACAACGTTGTTTTGTCCATATTTAAAAAAAAAAAAAAAAAAAAACCATTAGTAGGACGACGTCATTTTGATGTCGAAGAGCAATAGTCTGCGCCCCTTTTGCCGAATAAGATGTAATATTTTTGGGTTAACATGTTTAACTTTTTAAAATGCCCTTGTGCTTAATATCTGTTAATAATTTCAGGACATTTTTTTTTTCAATTAAAGTTAAAGAAGCATCAATAAGAGGGAAATTTTCATCATATACCTTCGTCTATGTGTTTCTTTTGGCAATGTATAATGAAGAATGGGGAATTAAATTGATATCCTGCCATAGTGAGACAATAAGTACTTTTCTTTCCTCTGCGGTTTGTTTGATAGGGAGGACTGGACTAGACTGGACTAGATTAGCAAAATACTTATATTTTATTTGCATTCGATTTATAATATGTATGTTGTTTAATTTGGAGGAAAAATAGGGACTATCTATAAGAGGTTGATAACTAAAACTTATCCCCATAATCCCCTTGAAAATGACGGGATTAGGAGGGATAAATTTTAATCATCAACCTATTATGATGAATAGTCCTCCATCCTCCAAGTTAGAGGGCAATATCCATATTATGCCTTGATTGCACATGAAATATAGCCACTTTACTAGTCAAGTCTAGTCTAACTCTAAACCTCCCTAACAAACGAGATAATTTCTTGTCAGTTCAGTTGATATCTTGCATCACTTTGAGGGTAACAAATCCAAAACTCTGTAGATTAATATCCACGTCGAGACAGAAGTTTACAATTCCTAGCATGAAGCCAACCAATTAATCTACAAGAACAAATACAATCAATTTTGGCTAATCAGGTGGTCATCTTCTTCTAACTGAGCTGATTGATACAAATTGTTTCAAGACATAATTCCTAACGTTGGTTGGATTTTATGTACAGGCAGATGTCCCAAGAACAGCTTATTGCAAATCCAGTGAGTTTCACTCTTCTTCATCTTTAGCATCAGAGCTCCCATATACAACAGAAAAATAAAATCCGAGGGTCCTGGATGTGAGGCCTGGAAACCTGTGAGAGCCTCCTGGTCGCATATCAATCTTAACCAATGGCCATCGCATTGCTTGCGCAGCTTCACACTCCTCCCATCCATCCCCAATTACGCAGAAGCGGACATTTGGGTGGTCAAAACGCACCTTGATCTGCTGAAAACATTGTAGTTTTCCCACTTCCCAGGAACTATAGACTGAAGAAATTATGAAGATTTGACAGTACCCATGTTAAGAGCCCCACTAATGCATAAAACAAGGTCTATATGTCGATCACCAGAATCCATGAAACAAATAGAATAAAATAAAACTATGTGACGCATCAGGACTCCACTTCTTGCATATGCACTATTTTAAACTGCATTAGGGGACATTAATTCTGATTCTTAACACTAACTACAGTGTCGTTAAAGACAAAATAATCTAGAAAGAAAAATAACAAGCTTCGCAAACATTAAAGTGATAAGGATTACTAACCATTTTCATCTGTTATCATGTTGTCGAGTCGAAAGAGCAAGCATTTTACAAGACTGGGGATCAATGATCCAGATGTCACTAAAAGATTAACATGCTGATACTTTGAAGCAGAAGATTTGATCCCATCAGCAGCCACAAGAGATGTATTTTTGTGCCCAGCAGAACACTCTTCCAAGAAGATGCGCGCTACATTAATACAGGAGGAACATGATTCTTGAGCAACTATTGAAGAATGTTTAATAATGGAAGAGAACAAAGTCGAGGCATAATGCATTTCTGACACTACACAGAGCAAACTGCTCATTAGGATTACCAGAAGGTGTTGACAGGTGCATCCCAAACATCATAAAGGTAAAGAGAAGCAAGGTAACATAATTTTATTTGTGATGGCAGAGTATCTATTATAGGAGGTGATCTCTCCGAAAGACGGAAGATGGAGGGGTGTGGCAATTATTTTCTGGCATTGCATGGGTTTGTTACAGTTTAAAAGATGATGATGGTAGACAATTCCTAAAGGTAGAAATTTTTTTTCTGACAGTGTTCAAAACAGGCACTAGCTCCATCTTCCGTATCCTCAACCAATCATCAAAAACTTTCGTTTTTGTGCTCATAAACCAAAATAGCAACTATAAAATTAAGCAATCAATTACTGTCTAATAGGCACAGGATGGGATATTAAAAGTGCTATTTCCCGACCAAACAGGTGACATCATCCTCTTGACTTTCCTAGACCCTCCAAGTATCGACATTCTTCTTTGGTTCAGATGCATGCCACTATACCACATTAACTGGTTGATAGTTGACAGGGATTTTGAATCTGTTCCCATAGCATTGTTCATTCAATCAAAGCCAACACCATTACATTCCTTGGGGGCATTCTTTTCACTAGTGGATCTTATGAAAGATCAAAAATACTCTTGTTTGACTGCTCAATTCTGTACGAATTAGCAAACCATTCATGCTAACTTCCTTATTTTCTGGTAGCTCCATTCCCACCATGGTTGTATAAGTTTGTCTAGTTTAATGGATACATCTTCTCGATAATCCGTTTCGTCTGCTTTCCTAATTTTTTTTTCCCATCAAAAAAGATAAATCATTGTTTTGGGTTCACATACCACAAAATTATTAATCAGAAAACCTTATTTCACAGTAACCAAAAAAAACCGGTCCTAAATAAAAGAAATTCATTTTGCATGTTGCACACTGTGTCTAGAAGTGGAATAACCACAAAGAGTTTAAGTTATAGGACAATGGGAGCAATGAGTTGTAAACTATTAGTATGACTTGGTAATAGACCTTTCAATGATTGTGTTCCAACTTTTCATTCATAGAAAGTATTTCGATATATTTTCCATGCTGATTCAGGATACCCTCAGTAAAACAAAGTTGGCGAACTTACACCAACC